AAACGGTGGTTTAAGCTATTAAAAAAAAAAAAAAAAAAAAAAAAAAAAAAAAAAAAAGAGGAAAAAAAGATGAAAAGAAATACCCACGCAACAGACAACGGGGACATCTAAAAACAACCATAAAATTTACAGTTAAGAGATTATACTCTAATTGGCAGAATATGTGGTGTATTCAAGAGGCTTGCAGAAAACCCACAAATGCAAGCCTAATGCTAAAAATGTTCCCGTAGACCTAAACCTCAGATATTTCAAAACAAACCTTGTATTCCTCAGATATATAGCCCAAAGTTCAGTGTACTAGGTTATTCATGTATCTTGTGTATAATCAATACACTCACTCATTCTTGTGCCACAAATATCAACTTGGGCTCATGGAGCCAGGCTCAGCTTTGAGATTTACATGCAGGACTCTTAAGAGTCAATAGAAAACACATAACAGATCTGCAGGATGAAAACACTGTGTTGCAAATCTGCTCACTTTGTTCAAAACACAAGGAACATTTACGACTCAGGTACTTAGTGCTTAAGGACTGCATTGAGAAACTATTCACTGAAAGACAATAGCCTGCCTTTGGTTGCCCATGATGAAATACTGGACATAATGCAATATAGTAGCAATGGACAAAGAATTAAGGTATCATATTTATATGGAGAGTATTTATTACCATTCAACAGCATAATGAGGCACAAGCCTTAAGGCTAAAATATGAAATCAGGCAAAAAAATGGACAGAAAGGGGCTTAAACCACTGAGTCTTCAATATCAAGAATACCCACAATAGAGGTCATCCGGACCTCTGATCTCTGATTAACAGCGCCTCTCCTGCATCCTTCCACTAATGGCATAAGGTTGGGTATCAGAGTATTTGTTCCTTCCATCAACAGTGTTGACTGTCTTCACATACTGTATTTCTGTGAAGCAGTTCCTTGAAACTTGCAGAGCTCTGCCTTAATGTAACATGACGATTTTGTTGCTGTGCTGATCGTTGTTGCAATTCTAATACTTTTAAAAGCTGCCACACTTAAAAAATCCTAATCTTCATTTACAACTATCTTGCAAGATTAAAACCGTGAAAGGATTTTGCTGTTGTGGGCTGCTATTTACATCCACAATCTAATGCAGATGACTGAACCACTGAGACTGCCTATAGTTTCCATTAGATAGTACACCACTGGCATGCAGAACTCTAGTGTTCATAGAATGAAATTCACGTTAACAGCATACCTCAAAGCAAGTACAACGTACACCACAAAAGGCAACAACAGGTTTAAGCTGTAGATTTGTCCGGACACTCCTTATGTGGAAAAGCCAGAAAAAGGGTAAGTTGGGAAGATGCCTTCTTGAACCAAAATGGGTAAAAACAAAACAAACGTACAAACAAAGAAATGCAACAGACTGAGCAGAAGGCAACAAATGCTTCTCCTTCTCTAAAGTAAGTCTTCAATGTAAAAGGACCCCCACCCCCCACCCCCCTGGCATGAGATTGTATTTACCATGTAAAATATTAACTACTGTTATGCTTCTAAGTCCACACACAAACATTCAGGTTGCTAGTTTTTCATATTAAGTGAGAGACTACTGATTGCCAATGCGTAGTCTAAAGTCTTCTGAAGTAGCATATATACTGTTAAAGTTGTGGCACCAAGCACTTGGGTTTTGCTAAGAAGTGTGTATAACAAAGAAAGAAAGAAGTACATTTAGGATTGAAGGCAGCCTTGTTGCATGTATTTTACTGGTTCCTACAACTTGTAAATATGGGCCATTAACCTGTATTATCTAATTAACTGGTTATACAGATTAAATATATTTTTATAGTTTAAAGCCTTTTCACTGAAAGGTGCATAAGTCAAACACTTGATATCCTACTGCCCTGTGACTACTAAAAATGCACAAGTATCTCCATGTACTGCAAATTCTTAAAAAGCTAAATTTGAAATAAAGTGTAGAAACACAGCAGATTGATGTTACTTGGGTTAGGCACTCCTCAATGCTGCACAAACTGTTTAAACCTTTCAGAAAAGTCACCTCTGTCCCAACCCTGAAAACAAGGACTGCCAGTAGCCAAGAAATTAAATTTAATGTTACAAAAGAAGGCATATCAAAATATCAAACTACACTTGCATGTGGCAGTTGAACAGGTGAGTGCAAGGTTGAAGAAAAAGTTAAAATCTATGAAAAAATTTAGATTAATGATTACAATACTAGATCAACTTTACACAGCTTGAATTGCAGCTGTTCTTTGCTTTTAACTCCCTCCTGCCCAAATATATTGACTTCCTTCAAGAAAAGGAGTTCTCTTACACAAAATGTGTCATGTTTGTTTATATTATTCAGAACAAAACAGTTTTGCTGGCAGAGATTGTGGGTTCGCAGGGACATTTAAGCTTTCATTAAACTGGAAAGCAGTCAAGTCTTTGTGTCTACAAATTTTACATTTAATAGTTCCACAAATTTGGCAAAAGTTCACGATGACGTCTAGGATGTCTTCACCAAATCGTAGACATAAATATGGAAATCATCATCAAACTTGATGAAATAGACAGATGGTTTGGCTTCGACTTGATGAATGACCATGCCAGTCCTTTTTGAGCCATCTTCTTTGGCATATTCCACTTGTTTGCCTACCAGGCTGTCCACAACTTCACCTGGTTCCCGTTCTGCAGGAGGTGAATCATCTGTAACACAAGAACAGTGTACTTTGGTAGACATTAAAGGAAATTTTCAATATGGAAGACCACTGCAGAGTCTTCCTTAAAACTCATATGAAACAATCAGAAGTTTTAAATACAGAGTATGTAGAAAATTAGTTTTGTTCAGACAAGCACCTAACAATTGCCATGCTTCTAGAAAGTACAGTTGCAGGAGAATTTTCAAGTAATACTGTCTTCAGTTTTATTAAGACAAAAATAGCACTTTGATTGGTAAGAGAAGTAAATCTTTTGACATGAAGGTTTACGCACAAGTTATAGAAAATGTCTGTGGATAATTGAATTTAAGCCACCAGCAGAAAAAGGCACCGGGTCTCCTTAGCAGAAAGGCAGCCCAACTAAACCTCCTTCTTCCCACACACATTATTCAGGGTTTCAGTGCATGCATGCCACTGCAACAAAAACATCTCTTCTAAGATGATAGTAAGTGTAAACTCCTTATTAAAAGGGGCTTTTGACTCCATATTGGAATAATGCTGTTGGTGAAGTCTAACCATATTATTTGTTTATCTAGCAAAACCTAGCCAGGAATATCCTTGTATTTTAGGTGATGCCTATGCTAAATTTGGATACAAAAAGGTGTGATTTCTAACATGCCAATTGCCAAGGGGTTGGTTACAAGCCAATCGTAGAACAAATGTGATAAAAGGTAAAAGCACTGTACTGGAGAACTGGAAGCTAACCACACCTTCTTTCTCAGCTTGTCTTCTTTTTGACTAGTTTGGATAAACTTGTGTTTTGTATTCCAGTGAGGAATTTTCTTAGTAATGGTCATACCTGATGTGGCTTTTATTCTGGAAATCCTAAGCCTTTAATTTCATGTCTTTGTTCCAAGTTTGCATTAAGAATCCCTTACAGATTTTATTCATTTTCTTTTCAGTTCTGTGAGTTGTGAAAGAACTCTCAAAGGAGAAGAAAAACGAACAGGGAATTAATAGATTGGCCTGTGCTTACACTTAAGATTCTTCCACAAACTTAAGTAGTTTCAATTTTTGTTTCAGTTTCAGTTTCATAGTTATTATCCTCTTAATATCAGTTTTATGTAAAGAGTCTTCCTTGGCAAAGATGCAAGTTAAACTCTTACATTTTCATTTAGAAGGAATTTCTAAGTGTTGACAAAGTTTTAGTATCAGATCCAGCAATACATTTTCCCCCACCAAAAAAAGCAGAAAAGAAATTATCTAAATTTTGGTCTCCTCACATACGCAAAGCCTTTCTTTGAGAACAAAGAGTTCCCTAGAAATTTTAGTTATAATACTATGGCAAATTCCACCAAATTTACAGACATACTTCCAGGTATTCTAAAATCCGATTTGAAAAACACTACTCTTAACATCCAATCGTTGACTTAAGGACACCATTCAAAAGATCTGGAAAGCATTCAGATTCAGGGAAGGTAGCAAATACTTAGAAGTGCTTTGGAAACAGGTAAGCAGTAGATAGTCTCATGGTGAGCAGGGAGGAAAAAGGTGCATTAAAACCAATTAATTCTTAAATGGAAAGCATGTAAGTTCTTTCCCTACCCCCACCCCCAAAGGTGGAAGAAAGCAAAGCAGACTTAAAACACATTCCAAGATTACAAGAAACTACTCAAAAGATTTTCACAGTGAAGACACCTACCCCAACAAAATTAATCTGACTATATATTAGTAGGCCCCAAAATATTATTCCCACAAGAACTGCTTCAGAAACACAAATCAAGAGCCATCTCAACAAGCCGTGATACTTCTATAAGAAAACAACAGTGGAAAACTTCTGGTTTGTCAGTTTCCATTAAAAAAATCCAAGCATAAACAGTTCCACAGTAGTATGTACATATTTTTCAGCAGAACTAGGAATAATTATGGAAAATACTTTTCCTGCATATGTCACTGCTGATAAAAGTAAAATATTTCAGCAGTTAACACAGATGTTCTTTGTTATGCTATAACCTTCGTTAGTTGTGATACTTAAAAAAAATAAAAAATTAAAGGGAGTAACAAACAAGATCTTTGTTTGCCAACTCTCCTGTCCATAAATAAACCACAGCCAAACATTAATATAAAAAGCTGCCACTTTCCAGAAGAAAACAGCAAGTGGCCTACTTACTCGAATCAGGCATAATGCGAAGGTCACCTTCTTTATAATCATCTAAGAGTTGGTACATGTACAAGACGGGATCTTTCTCATAGGTAATATAAAACCATGTGTTCATAATAGGAGCTCGAGCCAAAACCATCCCCCTCCATTCATCTTTTGAGCCATCTTCTGTCTCAAACATGTGTTCCACAGCTTTACCAATCATTGTGTCTGCCAGGTGGGCATCACTAATTCGAGATGAAGCTGAAATGACAGCATTTCATAAGTTCATTCCAAAGCACAGATATGTGCCTTCGTGAAAAATAATCTTTACCCCAATTCATAATCAAATTTGATTGGAAGTTAGTCAATTCATATACAAAACAAACACTGTCCATTCCAGAGAGTTTACTACTGAAGAACTGCAGAACTTTAGAAATGTTGTTAACAATATATCATCCTACTCCCTAAGATTAAACAATCATAATGCAAGGTAAAGGGAGATCAATCAAGGCCACAGCAGTGAAGCTCTTTGTATTTTAACTAGACACTGGAGGGAGCGAGGCAGGCAGGGAAGAAGAGGAAGAGAGGCTAATCACAGAACAGTTCTACGAAGTTATTAATGAAACTTTGGGGTTTAGTTCCCCCTAATGTCACTCTAGAGACTGTTACCAATTCCTTTGCAGTCCAAAGAAGCAACAGCTTATTCTGTTTATAAACTAGTAATTACTTGGGTAAACACTAAACTTTGCAGTTTGAAAAACCTACAGTTTAGCAATCCAGTGCTAATTCTGAAAATCAAAGCGCCTTGTTACTAACCAAGTTATTTCATTTAGAAAATGCCTTTTCCCCCGTTATTAAAAGTATTTAGGCGAAGTACGTGAGGAAAAATGTGACATTATTACTGTTAGACACAAACAATAGACAACACAGCCAAGACTGCTTAGAATTTAAATTTTAACAGAAATATCAATGTTAACTTTACATATCATTCTTAGGGATAATACTCAGAACATTAACTACAGAATGTACTGCATACTACTTAAAGACAGAAGACAGCACTGCACTCACTGGTATCATCAAATCTTTGTGGAATCAAGAAAATTTAAATACAGTGTTTAGATTACCTGCCATGTGACAAAAATTAATTTGACTAATAACATTTAAGTGGTCAGATGTTACCTTGGGGGAATTCTGGAAGATACTAGTGGAGAACATTTAATAGTAAATGTCAGCTTGTATATATATGAACTTAGGAAAAAAACCCAAAACACTTACCAACTCTGTCTGGAAGAACTTCAAGTGCTGAAACTCTTTCATCTTTGTGCAGTTCTAGTCCATACACACAGTCAAATCCATCATACTTTATAAGATAGAGAGAGGGATTTACAGGAACTTGATCAAGAACCGTGCCCTTCCATTGTGTTACAGGTCCACTCCCTTCTTTCCATCCATGCTGTATTCTGCAGCCTACAATATTTCTTCGTGGCTGAGAAATAGGTTTGCTTGGTCCCACATTGTTTCTATGCTTTCTGTACATAGATACAAACATAATATTAAACAAGTACATACATATTCAAAATTCTACTCCAGACAAGAGATGTATGCTTTAAGATGGCAATATATTTTATAGCTTAGTGCACCTTATTCAAATAAGGGTATAAAGCACATTACAACACTATATTGGAAAAAAGAAAAACACACTGAAAAGCAGTGAAACATTTTTGATGTACTTTATAAGGTCAGTTTCCTAATAGTCATTTCTAAAACTAGTTTGCTTAAGCTAAAAGAACTGTTTTAGCCCTTGCTACACTGAATGTCAAAAGTAGAACTCACCTGATCAGGTCTCAAAGCACAAGGTTACCTGGCATAACTTTAGTACCTTGTTGCTCTCTGCAGAATAGTAAACACAACTCCTGCACCAGGAGGAAGTCGTCAGTGGAAACATTACCGGTGGCTGACTAAAATTCTTCCAAGGCATTTGTTTTCCCTAACCCGTGTTTCACTTGAAGGAAATTTAGCTTCCTTCTGCATCTACAGATATTTTTGACTCCAAGTCTTTTTAAAGATTCATGGTAGCAACAACCCTTCTTTAGCATTCCTTTTTAGTATAGCAAAAGAAAAATGAAATATAATGGTAATGGCAATAGAAGGGATACTCCTTAATGTGGAAAACAGATTACATATACTTTTTTGTCCTTCCTCTATTTCCATGCAAGTTGCATGGAAATTCCCTCCGGTGAATAACAGTTGTTGTTCTGATCAACAGCCATGTAAGCTCTTTGACAGTTTCAAATCACTGAAATTGTTATACAAGTTTTGTTCTACCCAGGTATTAAAAACACTAATTGACAATTTTGAATACAAATTGAAGAAACTAAGGAACCTCATGACAGTATATTGGTGATAAGAAACAAATATTGTATCTATTTTAGCATTTTACAATGCACTTACTCATTCCTAAAAAGATATTTAGAGGGTTGCCTGATCAAAATTCTCATGAATGTCAACTAGTTGTAAAATAAATTTTTGGGTTACTACTTGTAGCACAGTTCATTTAAATGTCAATAAATATGCACACCACTAGCATGCTTAAAAGCAACATCTAAAAGAGTAAATCAGTTGCAGAAAACAATATTCTTCCTTAGATTAGAGATAGTGACTAAAGAGAAATGTCTCCAGGAATGATGAATGCTCTCAGAGAAGTCCCTATATGATCCAAAAAAGACTAACAACAATCATACTACTGAAATCCTGGAAGCAGTCCTGCAGAATAATGCACTCACTACATGACACTGGAATGCATAATGCTGAAGATGTACATCTTGTTTTTAATAGTTACGATTACAATTCCTTCAGCAGCTTGTCCCACCTCCAGACTTTCATTCACCACGAAGACCTTAGCAGGGGTTTTTGTCAAATTTCACTTTTGTTATCATTTGACCTTTTCAGCAAGATCAAACTGCAGTTTTTGTATTCCTAACTTTGACAGCACAGATTACTGTAGGAACTCCAACCTCTTCCAGTTAAGAGGCACTCTCCCACAAAGTTGGTTCTAATTTTATGCAGAAACTAGAACACATTTTCAAATTCTAGTTCTTGCTCAAGTATATGTTTTATTCTTTTTTTTTTTAATTATTTTAGTCTCAGTTTACTATTACAAAATGAGATCAGAGATGAGATCAGGTTCTCAGCACAATAAAAATGAGTTTGTTTTGCATGCAATTAATTTATTTAGTTCTAATGAATCATAGTTCCATTTTAAAGCAAAATAAAACGAACTGAAGATAAAAAAAATTAAAATAGATAAAACAATGTCAGTTTTAAACAGTCTGTCTATGCTGCTAATCATCTCATTGTTGAAAAAGGTAACAATAACACTGTTCATGTTCAGCCTCACAGCCAATTTTACTTTCTGCCTATAAAGCATAATCCACTTTAATGTTTAAATTGGAACAATTAAGCAAAAAGCTTCACACTCATTTAAAAAAAATATGATGGAAAAAGACTACATAACTGAGTTCAAACTGGTGACTACCTTTAAAATGCCTCAGAGAGCAAAAAGCATTACAAATTTAATTACAAGTCAAGTACCCGCCGGGTGTACTTGCAGTTCAAATTTTTGTTTGAAGGTTGTACTACTGAGCAGACATTCACTCTCATTTGCAGTGGTACATACTGTAAGAAATGAGATTTTCAAACTAGTAAATTACCATGGAAAACCTACTTCTTCTTGCGTCTGAACACGTGCTAAGAAAGCAAGCATAGGTTTCTAACTATCAATAATAGCTATGAACATACTTCCATGTAAGACAACCAAGTAACCAACTCAAACCTTGTCTCCTTAACAGTGTGTTATTTCTGTGATACACCAAGTAATACAAATGCACATAAGCTACTATGATGCTATATCCAGAAGGCCCAACACATTTTTTTTTTCCCTTCTGTTTCATTGGAATTATCTTTAAAATTCCACAAAGATTTGCTCTTGAAGACTGGATAACAATTTTCCTAAACATGTAAAACATGGAGCCAGGAAAAACAGAAAATAGCAAGTCCTGGAAATAGCTCTTGACAAATCAGACACCTCCTCATCGTAAATGGCCCTTCAATCCCCAAAAGTTTCAGATCCTCTTCCTTATCTTGAAGGCAGTAAGCTGGTAAGTAAAACCTAGTTATGTGGAAAGGTTTCATTATCAGAACCAGATACTTTAGAAACTTTCTAGAGACTACACAGGCAGAAAGAAATCTTCCCAGATTTTAAAGTTGTATTTATATGGTCCTCACACAAACTTTTATTTGGCAGCTGCTACCAGGGAAACCAATATAGTGCAGAACTGCACAGGACTGGTAGCAGAAAAATCAACCGTTACTTCAGAGTTGTGCTTAAAAGACAAACTAGCATTTATAAAAAGGAGAATGGCAATTCCCAATAACCTATGAAGTAAAGTTATCCATTTAGGTTTGGTTGTTGTTGTGTCCCCACCGCCCCCGCCAATCATCTCATCTCAGAAAAACACCACAGGGTAGAACTAAAGAAAAAAACAGAACGGTGAAAGAAAACCATACCCCGCAGATGTGCAAAAAAGGCACAACTGTGAAAAACAGGAAGGAAAACTATAAAACAGTATAAATGCAGTACAGCAGCAATGGTCAGTACAACTTCAAGTCTTTCATGGTGCCAAGCAGAACAGTTATTAAAAATAGGACCCAAAACTTATTACAATTGTAATCTTATTACAGACTATCATTAATAGCAGAATGGTGATGAGAGAATTCGTATTATCTACTTTTCACAATATTCAGACTATGAGGCACATTAGTTGAGGCAAAAGTTTTAAAGTACTTTCTGCACTCCCTCAAAAGCCATCATACAGTTGTGAATTTCATCTTCAGATGCTGCAGGAACCAACATTACAAGTTAGCTTAAAGTGGGATCAGAAATTCAAAATGGTTACGTTCACTTGTAGTTAAATTGCAGGTATAAGCTGCATCTCAAAGTCCTTGAATTGCCAACTACAAGAAATCTGGAGAGCCTATGAAGAAAGGATTGTTTTACACTTACACTATTTCTTGTACTCTTTCTTATGCACCAAGGGTGGAAAGAATGAGATCTGGGAGATTACTGACCGATCTGATGCCAGTGAGGCCAGCTTCCTATTGGCAGAGATCACCACTACCCATTGACAGAGCACTTGGAAGAACTGCCCTATAACCATGGGAAACCTTTCTAAAAGGCTCAACGGTTACCTACCATTTAGTAAAGAAGAGTTCAGAAGACTCATCCACACTGCTCATTCTATCACATCCTCAATTACTGCGTCATGCCCTGTTCCATCCTCTTGGCTCCTTCCTCTGCCACAAACCTTCTGAAGCTAGTTTAAAATCTCCTCGATAGCTTTCAAGTGCCAGTAGGCTTGTTCCTCTTTTTCTTTAAGTGAGGAGTAACTAAATAAATGACTAAATCAGTGACAAAGTATGCATTACTAACTCATAGTCTACCATAACAACTCAGAGTAGTATTAGCATATATTATTACATAGTAATATCCTACTTGTTTATGGCAAATTACTATGGTCTACTACTTTGCCACATTCTCAGACAAGTCAGTGAGTGGCACACAAGAAATCATCTTGGTTTGGTACAAAAACCTTCACTAAATAATTAATAAACAATTGAACTAGTTTAAATTAACATAAAACTAAGATGGATGCTTAAGTTAAATGCCTCAAAATCACGTCACTTAGGATCAAAACTTCTAATGCCCCATAAAAGCCTTTATGCTAACAAGTTTGCAGCCTATTTAGTTATTTAAATAAGTGTATATCACCACAACAATAAAGACAAATCTAGCCACCCTCAAGTACAAAAGGCAACCCACCTCTGATAGTCTTCCCATCATACACTCCTTTCTCTGAGCGGTTGAAAGAGAACAAGAGAAATTAAGTTTTAACCAACTCTACCTGCCCCTAGACAAATAAATGTTTCTCTTTGCCTTCTATGGAGATAAACAAGAATGGATAATGATGAGCTGGTGGAAGGGATTAGAGTAGTTTTACATCAGGTCTTGTCTCTGGGAAACAGTTAACACTGTTAGCAGTGATTAACTATGTTAACTGTAGAAAATACACATACCGAACAAATTGCTTTCGATTGATGCACCACCATACGACTTTATACTTAAAATAAAATTAGTAACATTTTAGTAAGTTTCACACTTACCCAGCTTAGATTTCTCCCACCAGAGATGTAGCAAGATATGATACTTTGCTGTTTGACACTAAGACCAATTATGCCCAGAACATTACCTCTACTTTCACACAGCTACTCAACAATGTTCAGCCGCTACTATTTAAAAACGTTGTAGAGGGAAAAATACGTGCCATGAATGTGTAGGATAAGCAGGTATCCTTCACACACAAATAGCAGCCTCCTTACAGAAGTATTTCAGTATATTCTTTATTTTAGAAAGGTGAAAAATCCTTTCCAAAACTACAGCTGTAGTGAATGCAAGATTAGGTATTTCTAAGATTATTTCCAGACTGTGTTATCAGTAAGCATGCTTCGCAGTTTTTATTGGCCTCGTGACAATGCATGAACTCTGCCAGAGAACAGAGATCCTACGGCACCTATGGCTAATTTCTGGCTCACAACCCCTTCTCTCTGGATTCCATAAAGAATTAGAAAATTGTATTCAAGGATAGTTTCATATTAACAGTCAAAACAATGTTTAAAGCTCTATTTGTGGGGCATTCTTTCCTACCACACTCCTGAAAGAATTAGAAGTCTGACTCTACACGCATATACAGACTGAATATTATTCCACATGATTTTCAGGAACAAAGTGAGTGGAACAATACAGATATATTTCTAGGACAGTACTTCCAGTTACTGAGAGCTATACTTTAGTAAAAAAATATTAACAACTTACTTGTGGGAAGTTCTTTTCTTCATCATGCTGGCAGACACTCCTGCATGACCTACAATATAAATAACAGAATTATTGAAAAATAGTGTATACAATGCCAAAAAAGCCATCTTATACAAAAGTCTTCCTTTTGAATGTTAAAATGTAAAGAATCCAAACACTTCATGTTATGACTGATCAATGAACTGCTACAATGGGAGAAGGCTCTCCAGAGACAGACACAGACTACATGGTCATGAAGCTCAGGGATGAACAGAAGGAGTGACTGACCACAACTATTAAAAAGAAAGCTGAACATAACACAACAGGGACCTTTGCAGTCTTTGTTCTAGGAAAATGGCTGTAACAGCTGAGATGATCAATCAGCTACAACAGTTAAGTGAATCAACTAGCTGTGTAACTTTTCATCCTTGAATTAATTAAAAGGGTGCAAATACATATCTTCCTGAGTTAGCCAGACCAGCACTAGGGAAGTACATACACATCTCAGGCTAACAGAGCATATAAAAACCGACCAATGGAAAAAAGAGCTTTGGGAAGAGCAACGGGCTTGAGCTGGCGTCAACTCATGTATTCCTTCCCAGCAACTGGGGACACCCAGTGCTGTGATGGTGAGCATGTTATAGAGACCAGTAAACAGAATCACATTGGTACTGAGATACAATTGTATATTGCAATCCTTATATCCCGCTAAGTACTGGTGATTTTATGGTTGCAACATTCTGTTAAATCAAAAACCAGTGAAATGTCAAAAAACCTTTTAAAAAAAGTATTAAAACATTAAACCGTCCTTGTGTGCATTATGTAAGGAAACCTGGTCAGGAGAGTGGTGGACTCTTGACACTAACTGGCGTCATGGCCATGACAGTCTGTGACATGATACTGGGAATTCTGATTTAGCACTTTAGTCATGAGTAAGAGCCTAAGAGAGGTGACTTGCGCTGTGAGTAAGGAATGGTAGTGAAAAGACTGTCTGCAGGCAGGCCCCTTACTGTTTAGAGTGTGCAAAACATTGTGAGTGCTAACAAAGGCTGGAAAAAGCTAGCTGATAAATTTGAAAAAGAGGAATGGAGAAATCCTAAGTGGGATTTTTCATGGATAGAAGAACATTGCACTGATCCCAGTCATATTTTGGGATGAATATGAAAAACGGAAAGGGAAAAGCAGGCTTGTGCTGGTTGTTAGAAAGCTACTTGTGAGCAGTAGCGAAGAAGTCAGCAGAGGAGATATGCAAGAACAATATGATAGAAAAAAACAGTTACAAAAGATAACGTTATGTATAAAAGGTGATATGCACAGCTAGAAAAATCAAAATCAGTTCTTAGAATGAAAACTGCAGCCTCAGATCATATCCAATGCCCACGTGCGTAGGGATCATTTACTAAGGTCAACTCAAATAGACCCTGTTAAAGTGATGGCTGCTATGTATGCTGAGGATGATAAATGGCCAGGAGATGTCTGGCTTGATTCTGATTCTCCCAGTCTTCTCATTGTACTGGTTTTGGCTGGGATAGAGTTAATTTTCTTCACAGTAGCTTGTATGGGGCTATATTTTGTATTTGTGCTGAAAACAGTGTTGATAATACAGGGATGTTTTAGTTACTGCTGAGCAGTGCTTACACAGAGTCAAGGCCTCTTCTGCTCCTCACACCACCCCACCAGTGAGTAGAAGTGCACAAGAAGTTGGGAGGGGACAGCTGTGACAGCTGACCCCAACTGACCAAAGGTATATTCCAGACCATATGACATTATGCTCAGCAACAAAATCTGGGGGGGGGAGGTTGGCGGGGGGCAGCTGCTTGGGGACTGGCTGGGGAACCATCAGATGGTGGGGCAGTTGGTGGTGAGCAATTGTTTTCATTTGCATCACTTTTGTCTTTTCGGGTTTTATTTTCCTATTATTTTTTTCTTCTCTTTTCCTTACAATTTTCATTATTATTATTTTGATCTCTTTTTAAACTGTTTTTATCTCAACCCATGAGGCTTTTTTTTCCTCAAATTTACCCTTCCAATTGTCCGCCCATCCTACGGGGGCGGTGTGTGTGTGTGTGTGGAGCGGCTGTGTGGTGCTTAGTTGCCGGCCAGGGTTAAACCACAACAGTCATGATGATTATTCACATGATCCAGGAAAAGAATGTAACTCTGAAGCGGTTGCTCCCATGATAAAAATTGAGCAAACACCAGATGCATCCCCTTGTGAGAGGTTTTATCTTCTCAGTTTGGATAAAAATTACCTATAAATTCTCAGCTAAACCAGGAGATACACCCCTAGGATAGATGACCTGTTTATGGGGAAGAGGAGCAAATCAGGTTACCCTCACCATGGAGGAGGCTCAAGGTTTAGTACTAAGGACTGGGGATTCTCCTACAAACACTGTTTGTATTGTTTTACAGAGCACTGCAACAGGCAGACTTGCTGTGGGGCTGTGCTGTCTGCTGGGCCAGGCAGCTCCCTGCCAGCCATTGTGGAGGGATGGGGGGCAGGCAAGGGAGATGGTGGTGGAGGAATACTCAAGAGTTGGAAATTGCCATGCTGGAATCTGCTCTCTCAGACATGCTGGACAGATCCAAGCCTGTAGGTCAGGACCAGCAGCTGCCAAGTCTCCTGGGTGCTACAGCGCAGAGAAGCTTGATCAGTCATGGGCCAGCCACGTGGGTTTTTACAGGGCTCATGACAAAAGGCAGTGAGGTGGCTCACACCATCAAGAGGCCACTGTGATAGCCACTGGCACAGTGCAATTGTTGTTATGACTGTGTTGTGATTTCAGTATATTGCTCTGCTAAATCAGAATACTATGTAATGTCAAATATCTTCAGTTGGTATTAAAACATTAAACCCTCCTTGTTTGCAATACCTGAAAGAACCTGGTCAGAGTGCTGGACTGACACATGTGTAACTAATGTCTCGTGTATATAGAAACACGCCCAGAATTTCAATAATGGATGCTTAAATTAAGACCTACAGAGAAATATCCGAGTTTGTCTCTAGGTCTAAAAAATTATTATTTTAAATTTAACACTATGTGCATGTTCTAAGCATAGCTTTGGAATACATATGGAATATATGTTGAAAACTTTCATGATAGTAGAGCATCACACAAGAGACTCAAGAACTAAAAGTACCACTAATCTCCAAAGTCTTCATAAATATTTTAATCTTTGCATTTTCATGTGAAAAATTAAAGAGGACATATACAAAGTTACAAAAATGGCAGAATTAAAATAATACTACATCTTATGTTTACAACACTCAAGCTCATATCAAATCCTCAGGAACGTGCATTTCCAGCTGTAGACAAACAAAATGTTTTGGTTTCAAAAATTAAGCCTTACATGCCAATTACTACACTAAAGATCCTATTTGCAGTTTTTGACTGTTATAAGACCAAATAAAAATGCAGTTTAATTATAAGGACTATTAGCTGGAAATTAAAAAGCAGTATCACAAAAAGCTTGATTAGAAACCCAAAAGACTCTGGGACTTGACTACACCACTAAACAAGCTGTCTGATCATATCGTCAGCTACCTCTTCTGTATATGAGGTGGCTGCATTTTATTGATACATAATAGAATAAAACATGATGATGGTGCTTTATTAAAAAAAATACTTAGAAAAAGAAATCTGTTCTTATAAAGTAGTTACTGCATCATCAGAACATGAACACACACACACACATTTTATGTTTTACATTACTGGCTGATGAGACCAAGTAAGATTTTGGCTAAATCAGCTCAAGTAGTTAAAAACACTACAGAAATAACACCCACGTATCCTGCAGAATGGTTCAGCACAAACTTTCTTTCTGTCCTCTGCTCAAGGACTCTGAACCTGCACATAACAAGGGAAGTCCAAAGCATTTATCTTAAGGTGAAGAAGAGGAACTCTAGACATACACAGAAAGATTTACTACAGAAGCTCCAATAAAAACAAAGGAGAAGCTATGCAGACCTCTGGGAATGGGTGTTTGACCTGTTTACTGGCTGATGAGACCAAGTAAGATTTTGGCTAAATCAGCTCAAGTAGTTAAAAACACTACAGAAATAACACCCACGTATCCTGCAGAATGGTTCAGCACAAACTTTCTTTCTGTCCTCTGCTCAAGGACTCTGAACCTGCACATAACAAGGGAAGTCCAAAGCATTTATCTTCCAAGGTGAAGAAGAGGAACTCTAGACATACACAGAAAGATTTACTACAGAAGCTCCAATAAACACAAAGGAGAAGCTATGCAGACCTCTGGGAATGGGTGTTTGACCTGTTCACTAACTTCTCACCTTGGGAACCTCATATTTTTCATAGGATTCAACCTGTTCATTTATGTAGTGAGCTCTAAACCAAAGCCAACTAAGATGACTAAGCACTGCTCAGCTTCTTATGTCAGTCAGTACCTTAAGAGAGCTCCCAGTTTAATACACAAAGTTATGGCATTTGGATATTTAATACGAATATAACAAGCTTTCAAGAAGATACGATAGCAAGTATTTGAAGATCCTAGGACAAACACACTCTCGTACTGGCTACAAGCCTATTTGCCAGAATTCACCTTTGTATTTTGCACTGTCTGAATTCAGTAATGTCTCAAGGAGATGTAAAACTTTTAAAAGACATCTCGGGTTACACTATTGAATTGTGTAGCACTTCACTTTGCCAGACAATTGCAGAAATTATAGCAAGAGTTCACTGAATCATGAACATTTCTGTCCCCTACAGCAGCTCTAAATAGGGGAATGGAACAGCACAGAATTCTTACATTTAGCATATTCTAGTAACGAGGACAAAATCAGAATTATCTGATAAATCTGCCTGCCTGAATCTTTCTTTGACCAGGAGAATTCCTTCAGCAATAGTTTTTCCACTGCTACTGGAAAGCTGCAAGAACTCTATAAGCTACTCACAGGGCCAAAGTTCAACAACATCCAGGGTTTGGAGTTGTATCTAAACTTCAGGGAGGATGAGGAGGATGGCACAGAGAGAGGGAAGTGTTCAAGATGTCAACAGTACCGCTTTATTATTTATCACTCGGGACAGCATCTTCCTTACTGCTAACCAG